GATAATCCAACTTTGATGTCATTAATTGAATATCTACTAGCTGTTCTTCAAGAGACAAAATTGTCATCTATATATATGTATATATGTATATATAAAGAAGGCCCAAAGGAGGCAACCTTCCTGAACCTCTCCCAATGTTATACCACATAGCCTTATTGTAAATGGAGAACAAGTGCAAAGCAGGGGTGTGGGTGGGGACAATTTGGTTGAAGTCTCAACAAAGACAGTTTCCCTTTGAAGATAATCAGAGACTTCTACATCATTGCAAAGTCTCTTAATCCACCAGTTGCATACAGGCACAACTCAGGTCTTTGGAAATTAGGTAAGAGTAATTTTAATGTGAACTAATGGCTGTGATACGGTTTAGGAACTGTGATGATAAGGCCTCACAAAGGCACACATCTGCTGGGGAATGGGTATGTAGTTAGGACCTGGTACAGACGTAAAAGCTGCAATTATGGCTTCTTAGTAAGACAAGTGGTTCTGAGTGAGTGTGTAAGTTTTGTTAGCTGTTTTAATTGTTGAGTTTTTACTGTTTTGTTTGTGGATGGGAGGCATTTGGGAGGAGAAAATGAAGATTATGTTTGTGGTATAACTAAATTTAACAATATTGCTAGTAATACCAGAAAAAATACACAAAACTTAGCAGAAAGCAGGGACAATAACAATGCACTAAAGGACTACTTGGGGCTACTTGTTCCCTGATAAACAATGTATGCACATATGAATAAATAAACAAACAAAACATGATAGCAAACAATCATGCAAAGAATAAAGCAATGTCTGTATTATATTTATATATATATACATATATATATATATATATATGTATATGTATAATGTATATATAAAGAAGGCCCAAAGGAGGCAACCTTCCTGAACCTCTCCCAATGTTATATCCACATAGCCTTATTGTAAATGGAGAACAAGTGCAAAGCAGGGCTGGGGGGACAATTTGGTTGAAGTCTCAACAAAGACAGTTTCCCTTTGAAGATAATCAGAGACTTCTACATCATTGCAAAGTCTCTTAATCCACCAGTTGCATACAGGCACAACTCAGTTCTATTCCATGGCAGGTCAATATCTATATATAATCACAGAATATTGCATAAGGAGAAAGTTTTGTAAATAAATATATGCCTAAATTCCATTCTTTACAAGGAGCATAGGTGACCATTTTAGCCTTGTTTGTCCTATAAACAAATTGAATTGCATTTTTATCAGTATTTTGAGTGTAACCATCACCCCATTATTTGCAAGTGAATTTCCCATTTGCATCCTGAGATCCCTTGAATCTCTCCACGCCAATCAGATCCATCAGTTCCACACCACAATGTGTGCACAGGGATATGAAATCATTCAAAATTTAGTCTAGACCAAAGAAAAGAAAGAGGTTAGGCAGGCAAATCCATTGAGTGGGAAGAAATCCATTCAATTTAATTCAAAGTCTATTACAGTTTATCCACTATTTTGGAAGAAATCCACCAGTGCTTTCTTCTAATAGCAAAGTTAATGAAGAATTGATTGCTGTTGATTTAATGAGGTCTCTCTACCTACAAACTTTTACTAAGAACTCACCTAAATCTCGATCAGTTTTAATGTGAAACAGAAAACTCAACTTGTACCTTCAATACCTCATAATAGATCATCACACTGATTATAGTCATGCATTTCACTATATTGTATTGTACTTACACAAGCAGCAGTCATCTGGCATAATCAGGTTGTCGAAGAATAAATACTAAAGGTAAAACAATAGGGTCAGTTTTGGGAAAAGTACTTAATTCAGAAAACTGAGGTAGTGTCCAGAAGTCTTTAAAGGATGCATCAGGAGCCCAGCATGGTGGCTTGTGCCTATAAGCCCAGCTATTAGGGAGACAGAGATCAGAAGGATCATGGTTTGAGACCAGCCCAGACAAAAAGTTATTAAGACCCCATATCAATAAGCCAGATGGTGGTGCACATTGTGGTCCCACCTACACACTGTGGCCATAGGTAGGAGGACAGTGGTCTGATTCCAGCCTTGTGCAAAAATGCAAGACCCTGCCTGAAAATAGCTAAAAAGGGCTGGAGGCATGGCTCAAGTAGTAAAGGTGCCTGTCTTGTGCAAAGCCCTGAGTCCAAACCCCAATACCACCAAAACAAAAAAGAATAATAAAACTGCATCAGAATAGTGTTTAACATTAATGTGGAACTCTCCATTCCCTGCTGTTGTTTGAAGAATGGTCAGAAAGGTGTCTGAAAGTAAAGGGCTAACCACTGGCCAAACACCTTTGTATTTAAAGGACCCACCTTTATCTCTGTCTTGGCACCCTACTTTTTATTGAATTGGGGAGCACAGGCACCTTCTTCAAACAAAAAAAAAGCAAGTCTAAGCATACAGAACCTATACTCCTATGGTTTTTACATCACTGTTGTCTTCCACTGAGACCTAAGCTGATCTTCTAATGACTGTGATCTGATACACTATTGAGTGATTTGAATGACACATTAGTCAGAATTACATGATTTGTCACTACTTAACATCTAAATTCATAAGCAAAATTAGCCCATAATTTTCTTTCTATAAATTGCCTTTCTGGATTATTTCTAAAAAACAGCTTGTGGGTTGTTATCTATACTGTTATTTTTTCTATTCCCTTAATTTCCAACTGCTAATTTCATAATTTTTTTTACCTACTAGCTTTTGAATTGCTCATGTAGCTCATTTTCATTTTGTCTTATATTTAAATAAATCCATTTATATTTATACATTTTATTCTAATTAGCAGTAATTACCATTATATTTCTTATTACCCATAAGTTTTGCTTTGCAAAACTTTCAAGTGTTATTTTAAAATATAAATATTTTATATTTTTATAAATAAAAATCATTTATAATTTCTTTTGTGATTTCCTCTCAAATCCATGAATTCTATGGGAAAGTTGTTTGCTGTTAGTGGTAGTGGGGGTTTTTTTATTTATTTATTTTTTTTTTTAGTTTGTGAACCCTGAATTCCATTTTGTAGATAAAGAAACTAAAGACCAAAAAAGTTGGATTTCTTACTCAAAATTATATAGCTAATTCATGGGATGAAAATAAAGTCTCTTAATTACTCTTCTACTCTGACTTTCCAGTATTTAAATTTATATTCTTTCCCTATCAGGAAGCTATATGAAATTAAACCTACATTGTCTTTGACTCATATTGCACCCAGAAGTCCACATTTTCATTAGCTGGATCTATTACTTTTTTTATATTTGCCTAAGTCTTTTCCTAAGAACATGAGACAATTTTATCTTGAACTTTCTTATGCCCAGGATTTATTAATTTCTAGACATATCATTTGGCATATAGTGCTTAGGCACATTTTAGGTTCTCAATAAAAATAGTTATTGAAGGAATTTTTGTTTAATAAATACTTAAGAGTATAATCAGTTCTGACTATGAGCTTTATTAAATGTCAAATGGCAAGACCTAGGATAGAAAGAATCTATTTTGGCTTATCATAGCACAAGTCCAATAGATTAATGATAAAGACAATATGAACAAGATCAGGAAACTAGAACCACTACTGAAATGAACTACAATTCCAGGATCAAAAAAAGGCAAATAGAAACATACTTAATATAAAAATGAGTAATAAATGATAACCAATTTCATAAACACTACTATAAGAAGTAGATTTTATTGTCCCCACTGTATAGAGAAAGAGAACCCCAGACAGTCTGTGTGACACAAATGTGACAATCTTTGGATGGGCATGCAGCTTGTGTCTTGACTCCACAGCCCATCATCTTCACAATAAGCCACAATCTTCTCTCAAGGCCTTTATTTTAGCTCTTTCATCCCAGCTCTAGCCCAGGTCTGTGCCCCACCCACCTGCCCCACTGGGCTGTAACTGGAAAATGGGAGGTAGCTCTGAGCAAAGGGAGGGACTGTTGCTATCAATAGCGATGTCCTACAAATACAAAATACTTTACTAGAGGTTGAATGCTACCTCTTTTTTATTTTGTCCTTGAGAATAATCTTTGTGTGGGGAGAACAATTGTTTAAGCAATGTACATTCTACCATTAAAATCTACTGATTACTCTTTTTCTATGGCCTCATTAAAGCTGTTAACAAGGGTACTCTAATATCAGAAACCACACTGCCATGTTAGGAATACTGTACTTACACACACACACAAAGAACACTGTACTCACTGTATGAGTGACTTTGTATGTATTTTCTCTAGGTTATCATTGGAAAATGTAAGGATTTTCCTTTTATTGTCTAACAAAACTATGTTAATCTTGCCATGTAATTTACTATTGCACAAAGACAATTTCTTGGTATTTAAATATTATACATTATATATTTAAATATTGCTAACAACTATCTTTTCATTATTTTATTAATGTGATAAAGTAGCTTCATTGGTCTTGTACTAGTTCCTAATTTTTTATTTGAGCATTCTTCCTATCAGCCTTTAAGACATGCAAATTAGTAATAATTAGGATAATTATTCTTCCATCTTCAGTGTTCATCTTTTTCTCCTTCGGCTTTTTATTCTCTCCTTGATCTCTATAATCATCCTTTTTTATAGAACAGATGTGTGATGATAACAAAGAAAGTTTTTATAACACAAAGAAATGCTTATGATATAAAGTTAAATTAAAAGCAGGATCCAAAATTGTATATACAGTATAAACCCAGCTAAATGAACATTTACATGTTTTATTTAGATAATGAAATTCTTACACTATATGAAAATGTTGGAAGTCCTCACTCTAGGTGGGTGATTTTTTTTTTATTTTAAAGTTGTCTATATGTACTGAGTCATGAAAGATATTTTATTTATTCAACCATTCATTCATTGAAAGAATATATATATACATTTTTTTTTTTTTGGTGGTGGTGGTGGTGGTACTGGTATTTGAACTCAGGGCTTCACACTTGCTAGGCAGGTGATCTACCACTTGAGCCACTCTGCCAGCCCTTAAAAATATTTCTGTGTATTTTTCATTTATTATCTAGGTCAGAGCCAAAAGCCAGATAAGAAGCCAAAGGGACAATTTCACTGAAAAGCTCCTGCCCTTGCCAAATGCTGCCTTTCCATAGGAAGACTTCCCTTGACCACTCTGTCTTGAGGGAGTTGGCATTTGCCAGCAGCTGGTAGGTATGTGTGGAGGGAGTGGGGTGTGGGAGTGTGTGGTAGGAAGGAGGGATCCAAGGAAGAGTCAGACAGTCTCATTTCTCTGGGGAGAGGCCAGAGCTTTCTAAGTCTATGGTTAAAAGCAGCACTATCTCATTATAGGTAGACTGGAAATAACATCTGGATCCAGAAGGATGCTGAATATCCAGTGTCTGCGTTGTCCATATCACTCTACTGCTTCAGGTTCAATTCCCTGAGCTAAAATATTTGAGCAAGTTCTGGTCTTTTAGTTCAGATCAATAACATGATATTCAATATACTTCTCAGCATCCCTTTGCCTAAATTTTTCCAAATATTAAGGACCTAATTATAATTTCCTCCCAACTTCTCATGAAAGTATCGTGAGGATTTAGCAATAAGTGTCTCCTGTCATTTGGCCTCTGAAATGTGGCTTTTTGCCATTAAATTATGTTGACTTTTTAAAAAAACTTGTGTACATGCTGCATGTTGTGTGCCATGTGTGTGTACTTAAGTGTGTATCTGTGTTGTACCCTTTCCTTTTCCTTTTAGTTATGAAGACATTATCCATTATTTTTCTTTCTGGGAAATAAGACAGAAGAACTGAACTGTCATCTTGAAAAGTTTACTTAATGACCATCCATGTGAAGACAGTCTTACTGAGAAGCATAACTGATATGGCCATATAGGCCCATAAGACTGAATCATTCATCAAATATTAAAGACTAATTTCATAGAATGACTTTCCCAGTCACTTTTCAATAGAATCGAAGCCCAAACAATTTTATAAAAAAACCAAAGACCTTTTAGGTTTTCTCACTGAAGGGTCATCTAACCATTTGGGAGTCCTGATATAATAACCTAGCTGATTTTCCCCCAAAGCTGCATGTCCTCACACAGAGCAAAAATGCAATTATACAGAGAAGACATTTTGAAGGAGCTATTTTACAAGAGCTTAATGGTGAGGGTTCAGTTCTTCTCCATCAAATCATATTCTTCCCCAATCCAGCTTTAAAAGGCTCTCATGAGCACTGCTGACTAAAGTTGAGATGGTACAGCTCTAATGATAAATTAGTCTCACATGCTCCCCCTTGTCACCGTAGCTAAACTGGTCATGAATTTCACTTGGTACAAGTTATGGCTCCACACACCAATTGTCAGTATATAAAATTATTGTAAAATATTTTATATGAGGCCACAGAGATCATGGGCTGATATCAAGATACTAGTTAAGAACTAAAATATGTACTGTGGATCCTCTTGATTTGTACTCAGCACATTACTAACTACATGGTACCACTTATGTGTGTAATTTGAGGGGGGAGCATGGGGTCACTCTTTGACCACTAATATATGTCCCAATAAAATCAGCATCTACAGCAGGATTAGGGCTGAATTCTAACTCAGAATTCTACCTGGACTCACTCATCCACCAACACAAATTGCCATGACAGTTAACTGCACAGGGGTAGCTCAAGTGGTAGAGCAGTTCCCTAGCAAACTCAAGGCCCTGAGTTCAAACTGCCATACTACCAAAGAAAGAAGAAAAAAAAAATGCGCACAAGAAAAAAGAAAGAGGTGTCTCTACAACTAGCTGCACTTGTAGAGAAGGGTCATTCTAATCAAAGATTCATCTCTTGCTGCTGGTGGGAGTGACTTAGGGTTCTTCACTTTGCAGTGTGTGCAAGAACAAAAAAAATTCTGTACCACATTCTAATTTGGTGAAATATCAGGTGCTCTGCCTTTTGAAAACATTTAGACACTTGATGAAATCATGTTTATTGCTCAAGGATGTGAAGACTCTGGTATGTGAGGGTGAGCTTTAGATATGACATCATTTGGGATTCCTGGACACACCAGATCCTGGCAGCAAGCCATTCTCTATGGAGATGTTTGTTTGGTATTTAAAACATGCCAAACTTTGGCATCTTTGGCCAAGGAGAATAACAGTTTCTTGTTAGACATGAATGATGATTCTTTTTATGACCTAAAAAGTCAATAAGAAATTCAGTTTGAAACCAGACTTTTCCCCAATACAAATAAGAGTTCAGTTATTTTCTCATGTAAGCTTTGAGATTGCTTCTCTCTTTTTGGACAGTTTTGTATCTCATTTCCAGTATAGATGTCTGTTGCCTTCAAGGCTTTCACAGAGAATTTAGTCCTTGGCAGTGAAAAGAAAGGATTCCAAGAGGTTAGATCAGTGGGGGAGGAAGAGGGGCTAGTCAAGTTGAAGGACTTTAATTTGAATTGAAAATCCTTTAGTCATACCAAAGATGTGAAATTATCAAAGAAACGAGGATTTTTCATTGTAAAACCGAAGGAAAACCTCTGCTTGCAGGAAATATTTTAAGTACTCAGAATCTTACAATAGGTTATTCTTATAAAAAGAATGTTACTCTCATCTTTTGGAAGTCCTTTGCTGCCTTATGGTGTGATTATTTTTGCTCCTAGAGATGTGCTGAGATGATTGAGCACTAATTGCACTTTGAATTAGGTTTGAACTATGTTTTCCCCACCACAGGAACTGAAAATATATTCATAGTGGGTTTCATTTCAAGCCTTGCATTTATTCCCACTTATTTTTGTCTTCCTTGGCTGTTCTTTGATTTTTAGAGTTCTTTGATTACAAGCAACAGTAGCTGCCTCTGAACATGGACTGAAAGCTGGGCAGCTACAATGAATAAACAAAATATATAAACAAAAAAGCCCTAATGTGTACCATCTCCGTGCTTTTTTCTTCTCACCCTTTCTTCTCTTTTTTGATATTGTTTCTTCTCTTCTTTTCTCTTTTTCCTTTCTTGCCTCTTGTTTCGTTCTTTCTTTTTGACAGTACTGGAGTTTGAACTCAGGGCCTCAGGCTTGCTAGGCAGGCACTCTATCATTTGAGGCACTCCACAAGCCCTTCTTTTGTGTGTTGGGTATTTTTGAGATAGGGTCTTGCTTTTTACCCAGACTGCCCTCAAGCCATGATCCTCCTAATCTCTATCTCCTCAGTAGCTAGAATTACAGGCATGAGTCATAGGAACCCAGCTCTTCTTTTTTCTTGACCTTTACATTTTATCTGTTCCCTTGGCTGGAATTTATGCCATTGTTCCTGCTTCTTTTCTAGAAACCCTAATGTTAAAATTGTATCACATAAAAACTGATCTTTGTGGGCAATTGGTGTTGGCTAAGTAGGTAAATGTCTACATGGTTTGACTTTTGAAGAGCTATTCCTGAATTTTTCCCTTTCAAACTACTAACTCCCTCAACTGCCTGCCATTATGCCTAGAATTTAATCATTATAAATTAATTTCTTTGATTAAAGCAATGACACCTAAAGAATTTACCATTGAAAGATATTAATCCATATTTATTATTTTTATTTTATCATGAAATCAGCCAACCCATATTATCAGAGGAAGCAATGAATAACCCATCTGGCCACATAAATGTGTCAAAGTAAAATTAGTACTCACTATAGAAGCAGAAGTTATAGGTCTTACCTCTGATTTACTTCTTTCCTGCCATGTGTGATAAATCATTGGTGAAATAATTTGTCCTCCTTAAATTCCATTTACCTGTGAAATAAGGATATAATTCTTACATAGTTATGAAAAGTCAATAAAATTATGTTTGCAAAGCACTCACCATACTGTTTAGCATGTAACAAATACTAAAATTCCAACTTTTAAGGGTGGGAGTATGGCTTGAGCCAGGCCACTTGCCTAGAAAGTGTAAGGCCCTGAATTCAAACTCCAGTACTGCCCCCCCCCCAAAAAAAATCCTTCCTTTAACAAATACTTAATGAATACCTACTATGCCCTCCTATGATAAACTATATGGGAGAAATCTAACGGGAGCAAGCAGAGGTTACATTCATCAAAATCTAATATAGAACATAGTGGTATCAATGGAATATTAATCAGAGGTTTACAGACTCAACTACATAAAGATAGCAAGAATTAATGGAAGTAGTCACAGGGTAAAGTCACTGGAGATATGTAGTTGTTGTCTGTGGGTGTTCAGGTCAAACTGTGTCATCTCACACTTATCCCAAGAAGATTTTATTAAAGAGATTAGATTTTTGTATTTGTATGAGAAAAAGAAGAGACATTTTTTTGCTTGGTAGAAAAATGTCAGTTGTGGAATTTCACATAGAGGATCTTTGGGGAATTGTAATGGTGCATTTGAGTGATGCAGGTACTAAATGAACTAGTCTATGAGCAATAGCTGAGATCAAGATCAGGAAGAAAAAGTAGTTTAAGGAACTCCAATTTTAAAAAATATACTTCATGTTTGTAGAACAGATTTCTAGTTGCATATCAATATCTGATTTGCCCTTAGTAAAAGTACTCCAGTTTTTAAGCATGGCTCACTGCTTCCTACTACATTTCTCAGCTTCCCTTTCAGCTATATGAATGTGATAAAGTTCCAAGGAATGAGAAGAAAGCAGAAATGTGTCATTCTTTTGAAAAGTCTTCTGAAATGGAGAGCTACCCATTTACCCCCTTCCTCCTTGCTACTACCTAGCAGGAGCTTTAGCTTCCACTATAAATGGCCTTGAGAATGGACGCGGTGTATGATAGAGCAATAATATATCAAGAGCCTGTGTTCCTAATGCTTGCTGCTTTCATGTCAGCATTGCACTGTCAGTCCCCAGACTTCTTCCATGAAAAGAAAGAAAAAACTGTCTTGTGGAAGCTAGTATTTCCTGGAGTCTACTTTTTAGCATGATTTTAATCATTATTAGTATATTGCTCTGATAGTATGATAACCATGGGGTTATAAAACAAATATAAATATATCATATGATCTCTCTCTCTCTCTCTCTCTCTCTCTCTCTCTCTCTCTCTCTCTCTTGCTCTTGCTGGGGATTGAACCCAGGCCTCCAGCAGAGCATCCTAGGCAAGTGCTCTACCATTTATATCATGCCCCAAGCCCTTTTGTTTTCATCTTGCTTTTGAGATAGGTTCTCAATAATTTTGCCTGACTGGTCTTGAACTCAAGATCCTCCTGCCTCTGCCTTCTAAGTAAGTTGGGATTTACATATATGCATCCCACACCCAGCTCACATAATTTCTGTCTTCAAGAAGTTTACATTATGTTCATTGTTAGGTGTTTGGAAAGTCACTCTGGGGTCTTCAGAGCAGAGACTTTTATATTCATAATTATATCCCTGTACCAAAGTATAGAGTAGGCAGCCAACAATATGTATTGATGATTAAAGTATTGCTCTATGCTCACACAAATTGGCT